TTTAAGAATTTCATATATATATCTTTAAAAACTTTGGTCGGCCATTTTGGCCCCGCCCTACCCCTGGGGGTCATGATTTGAACAAACTTGAAACTTCACTACCTGAGCAATCTTCCATATATATATGATGAATAATGTCTTTTTCATTCTTGAGAAGAAGATTTTTAAAGAACTTTCCAATATATTTCTATGTAAAAATTTGGTCGGCCATTTTGGCCCCATCCTACCCTCGAGGGTCATGATTTGAACAAACTTGAATCTACAATACCTAAGCATGCTCCCATATAAATATGATGAATTATGGATTTGTCATTCTTGAGAAGAAGATTTTGAAAGAATTTTCCTATATATTTCTATGTAAAACTTTGTACGGCCATTTGGGCCCCGCCCTTCCCCCGGGGGTCATGATTTGAACAAATTTGAATCTTCACTACTTGAGGATGTTTCCCCATAAGTTTCATCTTTCCTGGAACAGTGGTTCTTGAGAAGAAGATTTTTAAAATATGCCACTAAATTTTCATTAATTTCCAATTTTCTCCCCTTAAACAAGGACGTGGACCTTCATTTGAGCAAACTTGATTCCCCTTCACCCAAGGATACTTTGTGGCAAGTTTGGTTGAAATTGATCCAGCGGTTCTTGAGAAGAAATCGAAAATGTGAAAAGGTACAGACAGGCAGACGGACAGACAGACGCCGGACAAAATGTGATCAGAAAAGCTCACTTGAGCCTTCGGCTCAGGTGAGCTAAATACAGGAATCTAAGAAGGGTACCTGATATATAAAGGTAAATTAATGAACAAACATATATTTTAATAAATCTGCATTCGATATTGCAGAAATAATCTTATTTTCATTTTTACATCAGGTTTTTCAGACGCATTAAGTCTGTTTGTATGTAAACACATTCAAAATGCTAAAACGTCGAAGACGAATTTCACCTCTGATGATTTTAATTTTATAAGATCCTTAATTTAATAGAAAATTATCACTGCATTGAAGTGCAATTTTGTGCAAATCCTGAGAAAATATTAATTCAAGATCGAAGTCTGATTTGGGTAGCTAAAATAAAATTAAGCTGCTTCACGTACGTAAATAAAACTATGTGGGTAATATAAGCTACATAGCTAGATTTAGTGATTGTACCAGACCTGATGTAGTTGAATCCACACTTTTCAAAAGTTATGTCCCTTGGCTGCCATTTTTGGGGATAGAGCAATAGAATCCTCACAGCAGCCTTTGTAGTTTCCAGGTTTGTAACTATGTCATTTGACTTGAATAAAAATTGCTGCATTGTGTATACTAATTGTCCCATATTCGGGCTACCCACACGTCCAAAGAAAACATTCAATACACAGAGAATACAAATGTTTGGTAGCATAAAGAGGAGAAATGTTGCTTCTTTCCCTTTTGGTTGACCCTACAAAGGGACATAACTTTTGTAAAGTGTGGATTGGACTATGTTCCACAAACAAAACCACTAAACCAGTATCACATCTTTATTACCTACTAATATTGTAGATATAACTGATGTAATTCCAAGTTAATATTCATTAGGTCTATTTTAAAATCATTACGCTTCGTGATTTTTTTCTTTTTTTTGCTGTAATCAAGGAAGTACAGCGACTGTCACTGCAAGTCGTCTAGAGATAATTCGAACGAAACATTTCATCATATTCTATGTTTTAACTTAAGTATATTTTCCTTACATATAGAAAAAACATAATATTAAACACCTAATAAATATATTTTATTAATACATTTATAATGCAGCTGCATGCGACATTTAAAACGCTCGAACAAACTTTCATCGTACGATGTCGCCTTTGTACATTGCGGGAGAAGTAATACGCCAATACAACCTCAGATTACAAAAATTCGATGTATTCGTGAAACCACGTTATATTTCGTAAACCGTTTAAACTCATAAATGTCAACATTCACACCCACCGTTCGCTATTTAAAACCTTAGACCTAAAATAAAACGTAGAATCTTTATTTCTTGGTGTGCCTCTGGTCCAAAATGGCGTCTTACTCTCCAAACCAAACAAACAGTCGAGTGTGCATGCGTAAATATTACAGCGTGTGCAGTAGGCAACTATATTCCCGGATAGATCTAAAATAATTTTTTTTTTGTTTTGCAATACAAAACAATTTTTAATTTCTCTTTTCTCATGCACTTTAATGTATTAATACATTGTTTAAAACATAGAGTTGACACAAACTTTTCTTGCATCATTTGCATATGATTGGGAGTCCATCAGAAGATCTTTTAAGATATTATGCATCTTACATAACAACCAACGTAGCCCCATACTCCAAACAGACCCCTGAGCCCAGGGTCATGAATTTCACAATTTTGGAAGAAGCAGCAATATTCAACTTAACTAGGCACTTGGTTATATGTTATTTAATGCCAAAGTGCACAAAAAAAAACTTCAAAGAAATAATGCATTTTCACTATGTTATCTATTTAGCCCCGCCCTAGCACAAGAACCCCTGACCTTAGGCCCATGAATTTCACAATTTTGGTAAAGGACTCAATGCTGATTACAATCATACAAACAGTTTGACTGCTTGATGTCCAGGAGTAAAGAAGAAGATTTTTAAAGATTGCACTGATTTAAGTGGTTTTGCCCCCCCCCAAGGCCCAGGGGGGCAGGGACCATGAAATTCACAATTTTTGTTCCCCTTCAACCATAGATGCTATATGCCAAAATTGGTTGAAATTGATTCAGCGGTTTCAGAGAAGAAGCTGAAAATGTTCAAATGTTAACGCACGACGCACGACGAACGACGACAAATGAAAACGGATAGCAATAGGTCACCTGAGTTTACTCAGGTGACCTAATAAAATGCCTTCTTTGGTTACTGGTACGGGAAGTTATGCCGCTTAATTAATTGGAAAAATACGAAATGACCTTATAAAAATATAAAAGAAATAAAATAATATCAACAGATTAACAATTTTGAATTGTTTGTAAGGAAACTATAAATGGTTATAAATTTAATTCCCATATATCCATTAAAATTTGCATATGTATACGTGTGAACAATATTTATTGTTTTACTCTCGGTAACATCTTCATAAAACTCGCAAGCATATAAAATCAATAGATGAGTTTCACATTCCTAAGAGTTATCTTCCGTTGTCGGCGTAACGCTCATTTTTCCCTCTTTGTCCTTTGTAAGTTACCTGTTAATATTTTTAAAATTCAAACGTCATATGACAATTACGATCTGTACCTGTATTGCCAGAGTATGGGGCAACATGAAATACATAATGAGCATATTCATATAGATTTTATTTCAAGGATACTGACCCATAAAGTTGGTAAGGTTATAGAGGGAAAACAGTGCTTTACGCCAGTTGACCCCGGATTGACCCCACAAAGGGGAACAACTTTTGTAAATGTGAAAGTCGTCTATATGAGCTGCATTTTTATGAATGAAAATATGCATGAAAATATTATTTTGCTGTTAACGTGTGTTATTATTATATTTTTGTATATATTTTAAACCTTTATGATTACTTAAACTTAAAAAAAATAAGAAGAAAGTCTTCTGTATGCAATTCAATATACAGTTTTATATAAGAATTCATTATTGTACAGGTCGACATTTAAATAATTTTTTATTCAATCGAAGCCAATAAATAGTTCTTTCATTGCAAATAGGAACGACAGAAGTTTATTATCGTTATTTTTTTGTCATTGAAATAGTTTTTTTTTTATACAATTTTGCTAAAACAAATTCCGACATCAAAGTTGCAGCTCATGTTGCTTTAAGTAGGAATCAATTACAGTGAACGGAAGACCAACACCAAACATTTTTCAGTTTCATTTGGTGGAGGATGGGGGGTTAAACCTCAAACGGTTGATCATAGGAGAAAGTAAGGGACTGTCGGGAAAATAACAGAGACTGACAGGGGAACCATTACAATAGTAAAATATGATATTATATATGACATTAATTTTCCAATTAAATTATATGTAAGATCCGCTCTCAAAATCGCTACAAGAATCTAACAACCTCCTACAGGAAGTCGTGTCAGGGGTCAAATTATATCACCCAATTAAATCTCAGCATGGAAAATGTAGAAACGAAAAAGTTGTTCAAACATTACCTCTAACATGACCCTCAGTTGTAATTTTAGCGAATATGGGAGAGGATCTAACATCTAAATTTAATACGATTGTGACGTTAATTGAAAAAGATTTACAAAAGTTAAGAATTAGCTTTCTAAAAAAAACCTAGTACATGTTTGATAGAAATTGAAAAATACTAAATACACATGTCACGTCAGGGTCTTCTAAACGTACATTTGTACGATTGTTATATGGTGTGGGTATTAAATGTTGCATATTGAAAAATCAGCTGTCTTATAATTACGAGTCACACGACAAGCCATAGGTCTTTGATTTAATTTTTCAAGGAACAAATGCAAAAAAAAGAAAAATAGATTTTTAGGTAAGTAAAATTCTGAAGAAAAGATAACATTTACTTAGAGCATTAAAACCTTAATTTAAAAAAAATGATTTGTACTGTGGTGTAATTCAAGAACAGGAAATGTAGGTGTGAAAAACGGCACCCAGTGTGCTTAATTTTGAGTTATCGTTTCTAAAAGCCTCTTCAGTTGTATTGTTATGAACACAAATGTGTTCATAACATGTTTTTTGTACAAAATAACTTGAAACGGTTTTATCAAAGCAACGAAGGAAAATGTCTACATCCTGTATGAAATAACGCGATCAAATAAATGAGAAACAGACTATATTCAAGATTTTTATGTTTGATTTGTGAATAAAATATGTCAATTTTTTGTGTGTGCATTGTTGTGTTTCTAACATAAAGATTCTTATATTTTTACAAGTAAATGCAACTGGACAAAAAGAAGAATATGAATATCTAATCAGGTTAAAATTTAAAAGTTTCTTGTTTAACATTTTAACTTGTTCCAGGGTTTGTTATAATAAAAATAAATTATTAATTGGTCTCCTGCATGATTTTATAAACAATAATCAAATGGGTATTGGTCTGCCGGGGATAATGATAAAGAATTCTTAGGAAAAATCGGGGAAAAAATAATGCCTTGAATAAAAAAAGAAAGGATCGGAGTTCACAGTACTTTCACATATAAACCCTCGAACTCAGTGGCTTAAGGTTAAGCTAATCTGAAAAAAATATATTAATTGATTGCCCGATAAAAAAAACTGTCCTATGCAGTTAAAACATCATCTGGTTTAATTTCTGCTTTGTCCTCAACGTCTTGATCTTTCAGTTTTTTCTTCTCATAATGTTTGTAAAATTTGTATGACATTGCCACGATCACAATCAAATTCTTTAAAGAAAATACGGAGATGCCTTGGTCAAATTCATGCCATAAAAACAGTCTAATGACCAACAGTGGAAGATTAATGATGTATGCAAGGATAATCTTATGTAACAAAATCAAACGTCTGGGTAACTTGCCTTGTCCGAATTGTGTAAGCGACAAGGTAACAAGAGGTATGGTTGGAAGGACAAAATTTAAGGAGGCTACAGTCACTATGGCTTTTATGAGACCTGGTGAGAACTCTTCACGATCCTCCTTAATAAAGAGTGGTTCCATGCTGTCTACACAGTCCAGGATATCATAAATAACACTCATCGATAGTGATTTAATGTATGCCTTCCTCACCAAATCAGGCTTTGCGTCATGTAGGGTAGAAAGATGAAGCACAAAGACGACTCCTACTACAGCAAAAGCAGTTTTTACGGAATTCGGCCCGAAAATGAGGTTTTCTTCTTCGAAATCACTGAATATTATAATCGACTTAATCATCACAGTGGCCGAATACAGAAACCACGAAAGCACATCTATCCAAATGTTTGTTTTCTTCAGTAGCTTGGCATTCGAACCATTGAAACGAAAACATGACAATGTAAATGACGCAATAAATAGGATAATGGTGATGACGTCAATTGCTAGAAAGCCCAAGTATGCAATGTCTTTGTGTATTGCCATCTGGTAATCGACAACAGTTATATGATAGAAGATAATTAGTACACAAAATACTCGAACACGTAGATGTCTGGTTGCACGGCAGCACAGCATGAAGAGGGTTCTCTTCTTTTTCTTCTCTTCAATGCCTAGTTCTTCATCTAAATGTATATAGGTATGTCATAAACGGATATGTGATACAAATTTAACTTTTATGCTATTTTATATATTTTTTCTTTTACTAAAATATTAAGTGTCAATAACATACATGTTTTTGGGATCGCCATGTTCCTCTGATCTTCAATAAATAGTTCTTCACCTACAGGTAAAAAAAAAACATAAATACAATTCAAACTTTTATTGTTTATTTTATATACCTTTTATAGTTAATATATAATTGTCAATAAATAGTACATGTTTTGGGGTCTTCCGTGTACTTTTTCTCTACATCACTTAGTTCTCCACCTAGATGTTTAAATATAAGAGATATGAAGGATATGGAGATAACGGACAGTATTCAATATCAAAGTCCATAAAACAATACAAAATTGGTGCAGAGCAAATATGGACCACCATATCACCAGAGGCGGGATCGGGTGAGAAGTGAGTATCCCCTGCCGACCGGTCATAGCCACCCTGTGCTCCTTCTCGTCATCGGGAAATTACGGAAAAATTCAATGTCAATCCAGTATCAATAAATAACTAACAGTTACTACGTATAAAAAAAAAGTCAATCAATATTGACTCATTCGTAAATTGTATTTGCCGACGAGGTCATTGTACTGACCGTAAAACTCACGAAATGATAACTTTAAACGAGACTCCTGATATTCTTGTTTAATCAACGTGTTTGTCGATAATTTACCTGTTTTGGAGTCCTCTGTGGTCTCCTTCTTTTCAACGCCTAGTTCTAGACCTTTATGTAAATATAAAAGATATGTTATAAACTTTTAGCTTTTATAGTATATTTATATTTTTTTTCAAAGTTAATATATTAATTGCCAATAACATTTCGGTCATTAAGGTCATTTTTTGTGTTCTTCTTCTCTTCAAGATCTAGTTCTTCATCTACATGTAAAAAAAAAAGAAATATGTTTTACAATTTTATGAAATGGTATGTTATAGCAATTTTAAGCGGAGTGATCTCAATAGAATACATGTAAGAACAGAAGAAATTCGGAATAAAATCCGTACATACTTCAGGCAATTATTTGTGAAAACTTCACGGAATTCCTTTGGTACAAGGATTCCATATAGGCCATGCGATCATGGCGAATAGATAAATTACATTAAAAAATTAAATATTTTTGGTTTATTGAAATCTTACAAGCAGCAAGAAAATACTCTATACTGTCTTTTGTCAAAAATTGTACTTGGTCTAGAACTATTTTTTCATCAAGATGCTCGGCTGTCTCCGTAAGCTCCGACTAGCTCCCTTACGCCATGTGACATCATAGGTAGTCTATATGTCTCGTACGACTTGATGTTTGAAGTAGCCGATAAATGTTGCAAGTGTCTTTTTTATAATAAACTGTAACTCCAATCGCCCTTACGGTCACAGTTAATATATTAATTTTCAATAACATACAACAAAGGTTCTCTATGTTCTTATATTTTCCTCATTGCCTAGTTCTTCACTTAGATGTAAATATAAGATATGTTATACAATACAAACTCTTATTTCCACGTATTTGTATATTCATATTTTTTAGGTTAATCTATTTATTGTCAATAACATACATGTTTCTTGGATCTCCATGTTCTTCTTCTCGTAAATTCCTAGGTCCTCATCTACACGTAAATATAAGAGATACGAGGGTTGTTAGAAAAGTTCCATACACATTGATTTACGGAAAACCTTTTGTATACTGGGAAGTAGAACCCATGTCTGATGAAATCTTTTGTTTATAAGTATGTAAAAAATCAAGTCCATATACTAAAACTTCACAACGGTTTTAAAGGTACTTGGACACAGATTTGAAGTTAATATTTTCTCATTTTTTCTGTATAATATCACGAATTATATATTTTAATAGCATTTCACACAAAAATTAATTAAAAACCTTATTTCATTTAAAAGTTATTAAAACTTTAAATTTTTGGCGGGTTTGATTGACACATCCTTGCACTTCCACAAATTTTAACTATATTCTTAATCCTTAGGAAAAGTGGCAATTTGATGTGTTTTAATGAGAAATATTAAAACTTTTATCAAGAAAAATAATTTTATTCAGAGTAGAAATGTTAGAAAGCAAAACACCTTCACAAGTGTCGTCATTCCAAACTACGAGATGCGTACAGAGTTTAGTAAATCGAGCACACTCGTGTTATGTACACAGTTTTTGTAAACAGGGCTCGAGTTCAATCGCGTTCAATCGTCACAGTCTGCTTACCACAACTGCACGGACTGACAATATATTGTGTTTTTGTTTTGCTTTCGAACGTGTCTACTCTGAATTTTCTGGATTATAGTATTAATATTTTTTTCATTTATACAAATCGATATTGCCACTTTTCCTAAGGATTACAGTGCAGGGAACTAATTTTGTTACATAAACCAGCATCAGGATCAGCATAAGTAGGATCAGGATAGAACAAGCATCAGCATCAGCATTTAAAAAAACAGCATTACTTGGATCAGCATCAGCAAGCAAAGGATAGAACTAGCATTGACCAAAGTGAAAACAGATAAAGGAAAGTCATTTAATACAAATTACAAATAAAAATTACCCCAAAAATTATTTTTAATGGCTTAAAATAGCGATGCTGTTTTTGAATTATCCACTTCCGGCAGGATAATCCTACTTCCGGTAGCATTACTAGCATTGACCTAGTTTCAAACCAGCATCAGGATAAGGATCAAACCAGGATCAGGATAAGGATAACTAGCATCAAAATCAGCAAGCAAAGGAAGCATCAAAATCAGCAAGCATAGGAAGCACCAAAATCAGCATTGATGCTGTAACAAAATTATTTCTCTGCACTGTAAGAATAAAATTAAATTCGTGAGAGTGCAAGGATATGCCAATCAAACCCGCCGAAAAATTTGAAATTTCAATATCTTTAAAAAGAAATAAGATTTTTAATTAATTTTTGTGTGAAATGCTATTAAAATATATAAGTCGTAATATTATAGAGAAAATGATAACTTCAAATCTGTGTCCAAGTACCTTTAACTATGCGGTCAAAGGATTTAAGAAGCAATCACTTGACATAAAGTTTTGTGACAACCGGAGTTTAGCTTTGTTTTAGTTCTAATTATCTTTCATATCTTTAGACTTTTTTTGTCTTTTTTTACTTAAAAATCAATACTCTATATCAAGACATATTACCTTTCTTTCATAATTCATAGGCACAACTTACATGCGGTAAGAGAGATACTGAGGTATCGCAGAGGATGATCATTAAAATGTTAATCGATCCTTCCATTCTTATAAAGCTACATCAATTTGAATACTTTAATCCTGTGTACGCAATTTCCAGCAGCATCTAGAAGCATTTTAATTTATTATTCTAGATATTTTCCTGTGTGCCTACTTAAACTTTAGTAGCTCGGTGGGTTATAATGTTCAACAAAGTTTCCATTCTTGTTTTTGTTTTTACGCATTGATTGTATATAAATGGCCATAAAACAGCCATATACACTCCAATTTAATTCCAAATTTCGCCACATGAATTCTGTAGCAACAGATAAAATGTCATGAAACCTTTTACTCTACAACAATGTAATTTTTATAAAATATATATATATATATGTTATTATTTAGAATGTCACTATATCAATAAAAACATTCATGTATACATTCAACATACTTGAGAAGAACAGTTTTAAAGATTTTTCCTATATATTTCTATGCAAACATTCGATTGCCCATCATGGCGACACCTTACCCGGGGTTCATGATATGAACAAACATGAATTTATATCACCGATCATAACTTTGCTGATCTTGTGAAGAAGATTTTTAAGAGATCCCCCTATTAATTCCTATGTAAACTTTAAGCATCCATTGTGACCCCGCCCTTTCCTCGGGCGTCTTAATTTAAACAAACTTGAATCTACTTCATCTACACTACATGAGGGTGCTTCCATATTAGTTTCATATTTACTGGCCCATTGTTTTAAAAGAATAAGATTTTTAAAGACTTTTCCTATAGTTTTTGATGTAAAAATTTGATCGGCCTTTGTGGTCCCACCCTATAACCAGGGGTCATGATTTGAAAAAAAAAATTAATCTACACTACCTGAGGATGCTTCCTGGACCAGTGGTTCTGAAAAAGAAGAATTTTTAAAGATTTTCTCTACATAGTCTTATGTATAGCTTAGATTAGCTGCAGATCTGTAGCGTAATGGTTTTATATATTTGTCTTTGACCATGACGCTACAGATCCTGTAATGCAAAAAAGGTGCAATTTACGGCGCAATATTTTTTGCGCACTTTTGGGGAGAATTTTTAAAAGATGGCAAAGATTTTTCATGAAATCATTATAATCTCCCCTTGGGAGAGAGCTTGGTATGTCATTTGAATAAATTTGAATCCTCTTGACCCAAAGATATTTTGTGGCAAGTTTGGTTGAAAGTGGCCCAGTGATTCTTGAGAAGAAGATGAAAATGTCAAAACTTTACGACAACGCTAATGACGAGGATAACAACAGCAACAACGACAGACAACGGACAAATTTTGATCACATATCTACATGCTGATACGTGACCTGATTGATCACTTAACAATCAAGTGCATTTGGTCACGTGTTGCAATGAAATCATTTCGGCGCAACAGCTCAACCCAAATCATATTTACATTTTAAACCACTCAATTTCAATTTTTGTATATTTGCATTTTCAAATTTTATTTACGTTTTTTTTTATTTTTCATATTTTCAGATCAATATGAATTAGAAGATGATAAGAAGAATTAAATTTTATTCTAAAGCTCTTGTAAAAGAGGTTCCTGTTTTTTTCTTGGCATAAAGGATGGATAAACATTCAACGTTATGTTTTTGCATAATATATGTATAATCAAACAATAAAAACAGATTAATTAGTACTAAAAAGAACAAAGTCTTTCTAAACTTTTTTCATAGCATTCCTTAAGGTTCATTGATACTCTGATAAGAGAGATAAATGTTAATGGCATAAATGTCTATTAGTCCTTTATAGATCTATTAAGGACAGATGATACAAACCAAAAATGGATGCCTGGATTAGTATTTATCTCATACGTGTTGGTGATACAGGCCGTTGGATAAACTTGTGCTTTATCAACGGGTAGATGCTTTATCAATAGCACTTCCGGTTTTGACACGATCCCTCGCTTCAAGATTTTATTTTATTTAAACTTTTATTTGTGAAAATTGTTGCCCTTATAAAATGAATGATAAAGAGTAGTAATATCGTTAAAAGCAAGAAAAAGACTGGTATATGTCAAATAAGTGTCATATTTTATCAAGGAACCCGTTATAGCTATTTGAAGACAGATGTTAACTTTTACGTTGTCGGAGAAAGTAAAGCCTACCAGTTAAGTAAAGCCTACCAGTTAAGTTGTTGTTATAAGACTCCTTTTACATCTTTAACAATGCTTTCTTATATTATACTACGTATGCCTACCTAGTAATGTAGGTGTTACTTTCCATGGATCAGCAAACAATCTAGACAAAGTCTAGGCCCCTAGCCTTGCCTAGCACTATTTGTACTGCCATCATAAACATGATAAAAAGAGTTGATTTTCAGGATTCCCATAGTCCTAAAAACTTTCAGTCAGAAGTTCGTTTGATGTAAAGCTCCAGCAATTGTCACTTGATGTTTTCAAAGACACAGATAGCAAATATTCTAAATTTTGAACTCGATCTACTTTCTCTCGACGCATGTAAACATCAACGGTGCTACGTCATCAAGTTATACGTAATCAATTTGATTTTGGCAGTCATTCATGCAGTTTCGCAGGGGAAGTCTCAAAGTTTTGTTAAAACGAAAGTCGTATGAGATAAAT